GATACAAAAGCAAATATACTTAGAGCAGTACTAGAGGGACGCTGTCTAGGCAAAAGCTAAAAACATGGAGGTTATCACATTGAAACAGGAAATTTTCCCTGACCCCTTCACAGGCCTTGTGATGGGGGTGCCTTGCTTACTGAGCTCATAGCTCTCAACTCCTCTAAGGAGTGGGAGCACACAGGTGAGTGAGTGCAGGGGCCAGGGCATGTGCTTCTGGGCACCAGCAGGAGCAAAACTCCATGTGGGCCCTGCAGCAGTGTCTGGTGGGGAGTACCCACAACCCCTGAAACCCCAGAGGGCATGTGTACAGTACGACTTTTAGCTTTGCCATCATGGATGGCTTAAGTGTTAACTCAGTTGGCCCTCTGCCTTTTTGTGTGAGGTGGTTGCTCTCCACCAGTGAGGACAGAGGGTCAGTGTGACAGCCTTTAGCGCCCATATCTGTGACACCAGAGCTCTTGTTTGGCTTCCAGAAAAAAAACAGGTCACATAAATGAATTGAAGGATGGTGAATACAGAGGGTTTTATTGCCAATGAAAGTGGCTCTCAGCAAGAAGGGGAGCTGGAAAGGGGATGGAATGGGAAAGTGATCTTCCCCCAGAGTCTGGCCATCCCCAGCTGTACTCCTCTTGGAAGCAACTCTGTCAAGCCATCCCTCTGAAGTCAAGCTGCCTCTCTCTGACATCAAACCACAATTTCTGATGTCCTGCTGCTTCTCCTCTTCTCCCCTTCTCTGCTCTCTGCCAGTGGAGCCTGGGGTTTTTATGGGTACAGGATGGGGGTGGGGCAGACCAGGGGTGGTTTTGGAAAAGGTGGGAAAACGGGGATGTAAAGTTCTCACTTTGGGCCACAGTTCCAGGCTTGAGGGTGGGGCCTTTACCAGGGACTCCACCCTTTTCTGCCTAGAATTTCTCTGCTTCGTATCCCTATCAACATATTGGTCTTGTTTGATGTTTGCTTTCCTGTGAAATGAAGCGATGATTATGAAATTATCAATAAATCTACTGACTTAGAAAAGCAAGTTAAAAATACCACCTCATAATCATCACATTATCATCTGCTCACAAAAAACAAGGGCCATCAGCTCATAGGAGGGGCTCATAGGAGGTGGCTTTAACCTACCATTCCACTGTCTTACTACTATTCTTATTGTCAGTGATGTGTAAAAAAATAAAATAAACTGGCAGGTGGCAACCTCATAAATCTTCAACATTGATCAATTAGTATAAATTAGATAAATGAAAAACAAAAAGAAGAGTAATTGCTTTCTCAAAGGAACAAAGCAACAAAATTCATTACAGGAAGACGTCTTCTGAAGGTTGTACAAAGTGTTGACAGTTTTTCATTTTGGAATTTTGGTCATGCCAAAAACAATGGCAGTGCTAAGGAAATTAAAATACAAATTTTAGTGAAGCATTTATTTTGAAAACTAATTGAGTTTAAATCATGCATGTTTTTAAAGAGACAACATCCGCTTGAAGTGTCTTGGCTATCTCTTAACGCTATCTGCATGAACAGGTGGGACATGTGCCAGGTTGTGGGAAAGCAAGGAGCACTGCCACCACATATCTCTCCAGATGCTCAAATTCCACCCAAAGCCTCAGTGATTGGAGAGCCAGTGAAGGGAAAGTTGGAAAGGGAGGTGTCTCAGGCTCACCTTTGATAACTTTACACTGACTATAGCCTGAATGCACAACTGCAATGCAGTTTTGCATCATTGGTTTCTGATAAACTAAGGCAGTCCTGCCTGTTAACACCCTCATCAAGCCCAGGACTACATCTATCCCAGCCAGATACATCCTGATGCACACTTGTGTAAGCATGTGCATATGTAGGGACTGTGGTGTCAAGAGTCCTGTTTCTCATTTTGTTATTTATTTTCTTAGTTTTTGAACTAATATAGAGTGCAGTCGAGTTTTTGGTATATGGTTCTGTGAGTTTTAAAGCATATAAATTCATGCAATGACCACTGCAATCAGGATTTAAAACAGTCCCATCTTCCAACAAAACTCTTGTGTTGCCCTTTTGTAGTTGTACCCTCAACCCACCTCTGGCACCTGGTAACCACTATGTATTCCCCATCACTATGGTTTTGTCTTTTCAAAAATGCCCTGTAAACAGCATGTAACCTTTTGAGACTGGCTTCTTTCACTCATCATGATGCCTTTGAGATTCATTCAAATCATTGTGCATATCTATAGTTTGTTCCTTTTATTGCCGAGTGCTATTGCATTGCAGGGAATCTACTACAATTTGTATATTCACCACTCAAGAATATTTAGCTTGGTCCAGTTTTTGGCAGTTATGAATAAAGCTTCTACAAATATTCATGTACATGCGTTTGTGTGAAAGTAAGTTTCCATTTTTCTAGGATAAATACCCAAGAATGGAATTGCTGGGTGGTATGATAATTCTATATTTAATCTTTTGAGGAACTACAGCTTGTCCTCTATTGTCTAACAGTGTCTATCACAAAGCAAAAGTTTTTAATTTGGATAAAGTTTGGTTTATTAACTTATTCTTTTTTGGAATCATGTCTAAGAAATTTTTGCCTAACATAGGTTATAAAAGTTTTCTCCTTTGTTGTCTTCTAAAAGTTTCATAGTATTCCATTTTATTTTCAGATCTGTGATCCATTTTGAGTTTGTTTATGTATACTGTAAGGTTTAACTTGAGGTTGCTTTTTTCTGCATATGGAGTCTAGTTGTTCTAACACCATTTGATGAAAATAATATCCTGTCTCTATTGAATTGCCTTGTACCTTTTTCAAAATCAATGGGCCACATTTGTGTGTCCTGTTCTGAACTGTCTGCTATGTCCCATCGATCTAGGTGTCTATCCTTTTACCTATGACACACTGTCTTAATTACCATAGCTTTTTATTTATTAAAGTCAGGTTATATGATTTCTCCAAGATTACTCTTTTTCAGATTTAGTTGTTCTAGTTCTTCTGCTTTACCATGTAACTTTTAGAATCAGCTTGTCTATGTAAGGTAGGAGACCAGCAGGACTTATTTTCTGGTCCCAACCCTGATGACCAAACCAAGATCTGGTTCAGATGGGATAAAGCAAAAAAACTGATGAAAACCACAGACGGAGACAAAAGCAGTCCTTCGCTGCCCTCATTGCTCATAGGTATAAGCTACTCCCACTAGAGCCACGACAATTTATAAATGCCATGGCAACAACCCACAAGTTACCACCCCTTTCCAGGGCAAGACCCAAAACTTACTGTCCCTTTCCTAGAAAGTTCTAAACAACCCACCCCTCAATTTGTGTTGACCTGACCTTTAATTTGCATATAATTGAAAATAGATTTACATGAGTATAAATACTGTTGCCAAGAGACCATACTTTGCTGACCCTGGGCACACTGCCTAGGAGTTAGCCCTGCTCCAGAAGGAGCAGTACTGTTCAATAAAAAATTTCAGTCTATCACTACCAGTTTGCCCTTGAATTATTTCCTGATTAAAGCCAAAAACCATCCCAGGCTAAGCTCAATTTTGGGGCTCACCTGTCCTGCATCATATATCTACAAAAAAATCATCCTGGTGTTTTGATTGGAATTGAATTAAATCTATAGAACAATTTTGGAAGAAGTAACATCTTGTCTGTGTTGAGTCTTTCAGTCCATGAATATTGTATGTCTCTCCATGTATTTATTGTTTCTATCTTCTTTGATTGCTTTCATCAGCATTTTCTAGTTTCTAGCATAAAGATACTTAACAGGATTTGTTAGAATTATACCTATGTGTTTCATTGCAAATAGCATTTTTTTTAAACTTAGTTTATTATAAATGTGCAGATAACAAACTAGTAAGATGGATTTTTGTGTTTTGACCCTACATCATACATTGTTAAACTCACTTTTTTGTTTTAGAAATTTTTTATAGATTCCTTATAGTTTTTATGCAGACAATTATGACATCTGTGTATATGAGCAGTTTTTTCCTTTCCAGTCTGTATGCCTTTTATTTCTTTTATGTACCTGGCTAAGGTTTCCATATGATGTTCAATAGGAATAGTAAGAGTAGACATGAGAATTTTTACTTTAAAAAATGTAATCACAAAGGAATTTGAGTGTATGAGAATCGTATGTATTCTGGTGCCTTTTTGCCTTCTCTGCCTTCCACAATTGATTTTTACCAGAAACAAATAGAAGTAAAAAGATATACTTCTTTTATTAGCTTGTATTTCTAGATACCATCATAATTTTTTCTGTAATCAGACTTAAGTTTAGTATTACTTAAGGTACTATCATTTCTATGTAAGTTTTGAAATACAGTTAAAATAGTTATATGTCACATGAACAAAAGTCAATCTGAGTTATTTGAAAATGATTCATTTTTGTAAGCTTTTAAGTTAATCCAGAAGTGCTACAAAGCATATTTTTTGACATGTCTTACTCTACTTCCTAGGGAATTGGGGAGCTGTTCTCTAATCTTGTGTCTTGTTTTTCTTTTTTTTTTTTTTTTTTTGACGGAGTCTCGCTCTGTCACCCAGGCTGGAGTGCAGTGGCCCGATCTCAGCTCACTGCAAGCTCCGCCTCCCGGGTTTACGCCATTCTCCTGCCTCAGCCTCCCGAGTAGCTGGGACTACAGGCGTCTGCCACCTTGCCCGGCTAGTTTTTTGTATTTTTTAGTAGAGACGGGGTTTCACCGGGTTAGCCAGGATGGTCTCGATCTCCTGACCTCGTGATCCGCCCGTCTCAGCCTCCCAAAGTGCTGGGATTACAGGCTTGAGCCACCGTGCCCGGCCGTGTCTTGTTTTTCATCTTTTTCTCACCTTCCATCTCCCTTTCTTGCCTAGAATGTCCTTTGTGTGCAAAACCCTGAAATTTTGGGTCAAGTTGCTTCAAGTATATTCGGTTTATGACAATATAACACCTGTAGATACCTCTATTACCTGGTTAGAAAATTATAATATGAATTTTATAACATTGAAGGGGCAGGGGAGGGTCCATCACTAAGAGAAAATATATCATCTCATATTTCCAGAAAATTCTAACGATGATTCCCACCGACGAGGAGAAGCAGAAAATCCAGGAAGCTCAGCTGGCCAACCCTGAAATCCCCTTGGGCAGTGCAGAGCAGTTCCTCCTCACCCTCTCCTCCATCAGCGAGCTCTCTGCACGACTTCACCTCTGGGCATTCAAAATGGATTACGAAACTACAGAAAAGGTAAGCTCTCAGTAAGAGAGGCAGCTGATCCCACATCCACAGGGTTGAGAAAGGCAGTTTTTCACTGATCAATATTAAGGCAGTGAAATGTCATTCTTGGCATAGAGTGTGAAGGGTGAGTTGACAATGAGCAGGTCGTGTGTACACCAAGTGATCAACAGCTGGCCAGTGGAGGCTGATTCTAAAGTGTCTGCCTGGTGCCAGCCTCAGACACTAGATTGTGGGCACCAGGTGATTGATTACAAAGCAAAACAGTTAAATTTTTTTCAGGTCCTATATTCTCATTGTAGAAAATGTGGAAAATACAGAAAAGCACAATACAGAAATTTCCTATAATCCTTCCACCTGATGATAATCGCCTAAACTGCCAGTGACTATGGCAATTAGCAGGTCTTTGGGTCCCTTTGAGAGAGTATCCCTGGTAGAAAGTTGAAGATGATGCCTATTGCAAGAGTTTGGGAGGAGAATAGAAGGAAAGGGGCCTTAATGGAGAAAGCTTGAGGAGGCTCCTCCTGAGTAGAAAGCAGAGGACATGGGCATCCTCTCTGGAATAGGGCAGTGGGAGTTTGATGCAGGCTGAACAGAAGGAGCCAGTGGAGAAGAAAAGGGAGAGATGGAAAGTGAACTGTGTGGGATCTTAGTTGAGAGAAAGTCCCCAGAAGGGACAGATTCTATAGGCCAAGTGGGCCAGGTGCAGTGGCTCACACCTGTAATCCAGCAATTTGGGAGGCTGAGGCAAGAGGATGACTTGAAGTCAGGAGTTCAAGACCAACCTGAGCATCATAGTGAGACCCTGTCTCTACAAAAATTTTAAAAACTTAGCCAGGTGTGGTGGCATGCACTTGTAGTCCCAGCTACTCAGGAGGCTGTGGTAGGAGGATCACTTGGGGCCAGGAGTTCAAAGCTGTAGTGGGCTATAATCGCCTTACTGTACTCCAGCCTGGGCAACAGAGTGAGACCCCCACCTCTAAAAAAATAAAGCCAAGTGGAGAGGCTATGTAGTCTCCATCTTCTGGCAAAGGAAGGAGCAAAGTCCTATACTGAGGGCTAGATAGGTGGTGGTGGGTTTGGGGGACTTCAGGAGGGAACTACAGTATTTGAATTCATCAGGAAGTCAAGCAGAGAGAAAGACACCTAGGACTGCTGAGGTGACTGCTATGACTGGGCCACAAGACCAGCCAGCGTGCTCAGGTGACTTTCTTTAGCTAAGGGAGGTAACATCATGGAGAAAACAGATCACTGGGTCAGCCTGGCAGGACCTGGGCTGGAGAAACTGAAGCTGGATCTCCTGGCTTTGGGATATAGTCTGGGGCAGAGCCTCAGTCAAGACAAAGGAGTGAGGGCCACAGAACAGCAGCAGAGAGGGTGGGGGAGATGGAGGCCATGAGGTTACAGGGTGGGCTGGAGGTCTGAGGGAGGGGGATCATGAAGTCAGTGGGGTAGTGAGGGCAGTAGCCTTCTAGTGAGCAGCCCAGGCTGAGAGGTGGCTAGCCATGGAGTGCCTTGAAGGGAGGAGGAGGCCTGGGGCAGTTCAGGGACATCGAGGCCACAACTTTCATTGCCAATCTGCCTGGAACGAGAAAAAGCAAAGACGACGACTGTGGTCTAGAAGCTGAAGGAAGATGGGAAGGAAGAGTTTCCCAGAAGTCAGCCACAGCCAGGAAGGAGAGTAAGAGGAGGGCATTCCCTGAAGCACGAACGGGGAGTCCAGAACCCTTGTCACCCCAGCACAAGGTCCTTTTGGTCTCCACTGCAGGGTCTGGGGAGTAGAGGCTCTCCCTGCCACACATTTCCATACCTAGAAACAATGCCCATCGCGGGGGATTGCCTCGTGCTGGGGAGAGCACCGCGTGTTCCCTTATACAGAAAGTCAAAAGAACAAAGTAAAGCCAAATTGTACATTTTTTATCGTCTAATTTTTTTTTAACTGAAAGGAAGTAGCAGAACCACTCCTGGACCTGAAGGAAGGAATAGACCAGTTGGAGAACAATAAAACCTTGGGCTTTATCCTGTCTACTCTCTTAGCCATTGGAAACTTTCTAAATGGAACTAATGTAAGTCGTCCCCATCCCTCATCCTGCAGCCCCCCACTTGCCACAAAATCCCTGCCCAGCAATTGCTGATGAAGGTTGTACCTCAGGTCCCCCAAAGCACAGTAGAACAAATGACTTTTGTGTCTTCTTGCTGAAAATCTAGAAGGAATTTTGTTCTTAAGATACCAGGGCCTGGGCTGGGTGCAGTGGCTCACGCCTGTAATCTCAGCACTTTGTGAGGCTGAGATCACGAGGTCAGGAGATCGAGACCATCCTGACTGACATGGTGAAACCCTGTCTCTACTAAAAATACAAAAAAATTAGCCAGGCATGGCGGCATGTGACTGTAGTCCAGGCTACTCAGGATGCTGAGGCAGGAGAATAGCTTGAACCTGGAAAGTGGAGGTTGCAGTGAACTGAGATCTTGCCACTACACTCCAGCCTGGGTGACAGAGCAAGATTCCATCTCAAGATTTCAACCAGTGTCTTGCTACAAATAAGAAAACAGAAAACACACACATGATTCTTTATGAAGTGTAACTACTCTCAAATTTGACATTGGAAAACTCTTCTGCCCCATTTTTTTTCCTGAGCTTATCACTCAAATATTCATGCTTATATGCATTTTGATGCTTAAAGAAAAACAACTTTAAAAAAATATTTTTAAGTTCCGGGGTACATTTGCAGGAGGTGCAGGTTTGTTACACTGGTAAATGTGTGCCCTGGTAGTTTGCTGTACCTATCAACCCATCACCTAGGTATTAAGCCCAACATGCATTAGCTATTAAGAAAAGCAACTTTTTAAAATTGACCCAGCTTTGGCCAGGAAGTAGGTGACAGCACGCAGAGGGAGGAGGAAGTAGGTAAACAGATGTAAGAGCCTAGTCCCACAGCACCCTGATTTAGGGGTGAGCCCTGGGACATGGCTCATGGCTGTGGTGGGAAAGGGCTAGAGGCTCCCTCATTCTCAGTGTGGCTGGCCCACATGTGATCAGCCCTGGTTCAAGGAGCATGTGGCCCCAGGAGCTTCAGTCACAGAGAAACTGAATGTTGGGGCGACTGCAGCTGGGAATTGATTCTAACCATCTGTGCTGTTCTCTGAGAGCCTGCGTGAAACTTGTCTTTTATATTGATGTTTGCAAAACAGGCCAAAGCGTTTGAGTTAAGCTACCTCGAGAAGGTTCCAGAAGTCAAAGACACAGTGCACAAGCAGTCGCTTCTCCACCACGTGTGCACCATGGTGGTGGAAAACTTCCCAGACAGCTCCGATCTGTACTCGGAGATCGGGGCCATCACCAGGTCAGCCAAGGTAGGTCTGCGGATGCCGAGGAGTGGGGCTGGTCTCGCCACAGCCACGAGGTCTTTATCCGTCATCCTCGGGGAACACGTGCCCTATTAAGTAAAATGCCCAAGTGCTGCCTGCATTCTCTGCTCTAGAGTTTGTGAATATGATTTGCTTTATGGCATTTCTAATGAATTTTAAGATATTTTTCCTATCTCTGGTTCTCGGTCAGATTCTTTCCTACTGAGGTATGCAAGGCAAGCCTGCCATCCCGTTCCTAAAGCCTGTGTCCACTGTTGAGCACTGTTACTCACCAGGGTGGATTCTCCAGAACACTGAAACAGCACAGCTTGTCTTAGGTGGGCAACCATGTTAAAAAGATGCAATTTGGCTCTTCCTGAGATGCCCATAGGACATTGCAGTGAGGTGTGGAGCCAGAAAACAGGGCCCTTCTGGCCCCTGCTCACCAGAGATCGGCAGTCCCTGTGATCTTACCCAAAGAGAACATTTTTATAGGGCTGTAAACAGTATATGGCCTTGGCCCTCAGCTGTAAGCTCTTAAAGCAAGTGCAGAGTTAATATCTTCATGAACTTATGCTTCATTAGAAAAGAGACAGTCGCAGTATGTGGACACCTGTCTGCCTCTAGTGCAGGGGGTCACTGAGGCTGACCAACCCCTGGAGGGATCCCAAACACATCAGAACTGGGAGATGTGAAGGTCTTAGGAGCACAGGAAACTCACTAGGGTAGGGGGCAGGGGTGAAAGACACCCTTAAATAGGGTACAGCAACCAGGCCAGTGTGAAGGAACCTTCTAGAAACACCCCTGGCTGGAGCATGAGAGCCGGCAGTATTGGGGTGTGTTGGAATCCAGCATGAGAGGAAGAGAGAGAGTGGTGGGCAAAGGTGGGGAAGGATGTGAGTTGGCTGCTGAGGCCTGCTTTAAGGGGCCCTTCCTCTCTGTCTGCCTTCTGCCACAGCCCTGGCTTGTGGGGACCTGGTGGCCGAGAGCCTCCTCCACCTACCTCCAGAGCTGCAGGCTGGCCTCTGCCAGGTGCACCGAGCAGGGGACCCTGAACTGGCCTATCAGAATTTTTTTCTAAGCCTCATTGTATCATGAGAAAGCGAAGCCTTTCCTATCTGGACTCAGGATTCCTTTGGTTTCAGACAAATCATTTTCCTCAAAGTGCCATGAAACCCTGCATACTTGAATCCCATGGGCTCTGCCTAAACTCGCCTTCTCTTTTTGATGCAGTAGCATCAGGAAGTCAAGTACATACGGTGTCTTGCACGCCTCCCTGCTTCACACCAGACACGACACTGAGTGTCTTCATCCTGTTGGTGCCACAGATCCTCTCACAAATTCCATCTTTGCGGACTCTTTCCCCTACATTGTCCTTCTAAGGATGGGCCTGGAGGTCTGAGGTCACTCCAGCAAGTCCCCTGTGGTCTTCAGCAGGCCCTGCGCATTGCCTCTGTCAGTGGCTCCTTACCTCCGCACAGCTGCTCACCTCCACGCACCTTCCGCTCAGCCCCCCGCCACACCCTCCGCGTACTTCCCACTCATTCCCCTACCCGCACCCTCCTCGCACCTCCCGCTGAACACCCCCAGCCACACCCTCTGCGCACCTCCCATTCATCCCTCACCCCCGCACCCTCCGCGCACCTCGTGCTCACCCCTGCGCACCTCCTGCTGCTCCGGCTTTTGCTTGCTGGACACAGCCTTTCCCATCTTAGCTACTTTCCATCCACCTCAGTCCCCTCCTGTCAGCTCACCCACTTATTTATCTATTTCTTCCTCCGCTCTCGTCCTTCTCAATTTCTTTCCCCATCCCTCTATTAAATGTGGCCCTCTGATGTATTTTTTTCATGACTAAAAATCTCTCTGATTTATGTAATTTTTAGTCTGGAAATTCTATAAAATCATCACCTTAGAAAACCTCATCTCAGCCTCCTTCAGGCAATCCAGCCTGTCTGCACGTCCCTGAATTCACAGCCAGTGCTCCGTCACATCTGTCCCTTGCATGTGTGAGGTGCATCTGCTGGCAACCCTCACACCCACACACAGGCACACACACTGGCCTGGTGGGGGCTATGTGTCCTTCAGAGTTTGGGAATCGCCTGTGTGTACAGTCAGCCTCCTTGAGAACAGGAAGTTGTCTCATTCAGCATTTGTGTTTATGTTCAGTGCCTGGCTTAGGGACTGGTGTAGTTTCTCCGTGAGTGTTGGTGGAATGAGTGAGTGGGTAGGTGAATAAAACAACTTGTCACTCACACTATAAAGGAGATCATCACGAAGAGAAGGTGGTTGCCCATTAGTTGGTCCCCAGCATAGCAGAGCCATCCTCGTCGGACTAGGGTGCGTTTCTCAACTTTAAGAGAAATATTATCGCTGAAGAATAAGAGTGCTCTGAAAAAAATTTATGAGACATCTTAGTTCATCTTGTACTAGGGTTCCTTGATAGCATGTTTTAATTTACAGTTCCCAAAGATTTATTTCCAAATATGGCCAAAAAAGGCGACACATGTATTGAGTTCATTTGGAGAACAGTTTTATCACTAAATAATGGGATGTCAAGATAATGACAAATACACATGTGAATAATTTTTAGCCTGTAAATATGTTTGTATTTCAAGATGTGAATTTGGTTTTGATGTTTGTTTCTCCCCAGAGGCAGTTTGGTCTCCCAATTCAGGTTGGTGTCTGGCGGTTTCAGTGTGTTTGCAATGTTCTCGCTCTGATTTTCAGGTTGACTTTGATCAACTTCAGGATAATTTATGTCAGATGGAGAGAAGATGCAAGGCTTCATGGGATCACCTCAAGGCAATTGCAAAACATGAAATGAAACCGGTTTTAAAACAACGGATGTCAGAGTTCCTGAAAGACTGTGCAGAGCGAATTATAATTTTAAAGATTGTCCATAGAAGGATAATCAACAGGTAAGTGGATTGAGGAACTTATAGAAAATCAGTACAGTAGCATATTGAAAAATTTGTGCTGCAAATTAAGAGCTGATGGTTAAATTTACAGATTTTTGCACATTCTTGGTACATAGCAAGTACACTGATGATACAGATGTTTAACAGTTTCATGGCTAATTAATTTTTCTTACACAATAATATAATGCCATCAAATCTCAGAGTTGGAAGGAATCTCAGAAATAATTTGATCCAAAAATCCTACCTATCAGGAACTGCATCTGTAAGATTCCTAACAAATTGAACCCTGCATCTCTGGGTCTGCTGGAAGAATTTACCTACAGAGAGGACACTCCCTTTCAAGGCAACTCTCTTTGTTAGAAAAGTTCCTCTTTTACCTGATCTGCAGCTGGCCTTCAGAGGACCTTCCAGTAATGGATCCTCCAACAGCTGCTGTATGCTACAGCCTACCTGAGTGAGGTCCAGGCTCCATCACAGCACCGTCCTCTAGACCAGCCCTCCTCAGAGTCACAGGATCCCAGAAGACCCTGGAGACACAGCAGTGAGGTGTCCGACCTTGTTTTTCGCACAAGGAGAATGGGGTCTGGAACTACCCATGGCTGTCCAGGGCTGTGCCACCAGAAAGCAGTGGCAGCCCGAAGACTAGAACCCGGATCTTCTAACTTCCCAGGCCAGGGCCTTTCCTACCATGGCTACCACTCTCTTCTCCTTTGCTTTGTCACAGAACACAGTTGAGGGGCCCTCACCCATTCTTCCTTCCTCCCTCCCTCCCTGCCTTTCCCTTCTTTCCTCATCTCCTTCTTTCACCTTTCTTAAGCCTATACAGAACTTTTTAAAAACCTGATAACTTTTATCTGCACATGAACCCTCTCCCAGCTTGTGTCAGTTTCTGCTTTGATAATCATGCTCCCAGGGTCTTCATCCAGACCACTGAGAAAATGGCAAGTAGTTTTTAAATGTTGGACAGGACAAAAATAAGGAGCAGAATCTTCCTTCCAGGTTGACAACTATCTGTTAATCAGTTCATTTGGAATTTAATTGTTCAACTATAAATCTCCCTGACTGTACTCTATCTAGACCTTCTGGCTGTCCTTCCTTCCTCAAGGGAACTTTTAAGAGATTTTGTCAGATTTCTTACTGAAATCAAAGAGGCAGGGAATGTGAGCTGGTTTGGCCCTCTGTGCTTTGTATTATGCAAGCAATTCCCCATTTAAAACACACACACACACACACACACACACACACACATACATACACACACACAGAGAGAGAGAGAGAGAGAAAGAGAGGGAGAGAGAGAGAGAACACCAACTATTATTTGGAATGTCATGAAGTTGGAGTAATTTTTTGAGCATTTTATAAAGCTATTGAGCTTGGTTACGTTAACCATTTTATCCCAGACAGATTAAAAACTTAGTTTGGTGGTATGTCTATTTCTTAAGCTATAGAGTGTTTGCTCTCTTTGTCCCATTCTCCTTGGTAAGCTGGTCACCCAGATGATGGCTGCTCCCGCCTCACCTGTCTACATCCCATTGTGGATGACCAGGAGGAGCCAGAAGTTCACTGTGGTTTTGGTGTGGGTAGTAAAAGGGGCGTGACTAAAGGGAAGTGGTACCAGGAAGTGGCCAATCCAAACTATCTAAACCGTAGAACCCTGGGTTCAAATGAAGTCTTTAGCTGGAGCCCTGCATGTAGAACTGATTAAAGCAGGACTCTCTTGTTGAAATTGAGATGGAGGACTGAGAGCCCCAAGGACTGTGCCTCATTTTTCCCTCCCTCTCCCACCAACAGTCCTCAGGATCATAGCTGAGGACAGCTGTGATTTTTTTTTTAACTTAACACATTGAGAAACTGAGGCACAGAAAGGAGAAGAACCCTAGTTCAGGGCCTTATAGCTGGTAACCAGTGGGATCATCTTAGTCATGCAAATGAGCCTAAATACTTATATTTTGACTTCAGATAAAAAAGTTTCAAAAAGCTGTCTCTTTAGGTAAAACCTAGTTTTCAAAACTGTTTCCTGGCTAAGAAAATTTTGTTTTGTATGTTCAAACCTGCATTTGTTTTAACTTTTATTTTAGATTCAGGGATACATGTTAAGGTTTGTTACATAGGTAAACTCGTGTCATGGGGGGTTGTTGTACAGATTATTTCATCACCCAGGTATTAAGGCCAGTATCCAATAGTTATCTTTTCTGCTCCTCTCCCTCCTCCCACCCTCCACCCTCATGTAGACCCCATGTCTGTTGTTTCCTTCTTTGTGTCCATAAGTTCTTATAATTTAGCTCCCATTTATAAATGAGAGCATGCGATATTTGGTTTTCTGTTCCTGTGTTGGTTTGCTAAGGATAATGGCCTCCGGCTCCATCCATGTTCTCACAAAAGACATGATCTCATTCTTTCTTATGGATGTATAGTGTTTCATGGTGCATATGTACCACATTTTCTTTATCCAATCTGTTATTGATGGGCATTGAGGTTGATTTCATGTCTTTGCTATTGTGATTAGTGCTACAGTGAACATTCGTGTGCGTGTGTCTTTCTGGTAGAATAATTTATATTCCTCTGGGCATATACCCAGTAATGGGATTGCTGGGTTGAATGGAAGTTCTGCTTTTAGCTCTTTGAAGAATCACCATACTGCTTTCCACAATGGTTGAATTAATTTACTCCAACGGTGTGTAAGTGTTCCTTTTTTCCCACAACCTCACCAACATCTGTTATTTTTTGACGTTTTAGTAACCATTTTGACTGATGTGAGATGGTGTATCATTGTGGTTTAGATTTGCATTTCTCTAGTGATCAGTGATGTTGAGCTTTTTTTTTGTATTCTTGTTGGTCATATGTATGTCTTCTTTTAAAAAGTGTCAGTTCAGGGCCGGGCGCGGTGGCTCAAGCCTGTAATCTCAGCACTTTGGGGGGCCGAGGCGGGCGGATCACGAGGTCAGGAGATCGAGATCATCCTGGCTAACACGGTGAAACCCCGTCTGTACTAAAAATACAAAAAATTAGCCGGGCGTGATGGCGGGCGCCTGTAGTCCCAGCTATTCGGGAGGCTGAGACAGGAGAATGGCGTGAACCTGGGAGGCGGAGCTTGCAGTGAGCCGAGATGGTGCCACTGCATTCCAGTCTGGGTGACAGTGATACTCCATCTCAAAAAAAAAAAAAAAAAAAGTGTCTGTTCATGTCCTTTGCCCACTTTTAGTGGGGTTGTTCATTTTTCTCTTGTACATTTGTTTAAGTTCCTTGAAGATGCTTGACATTAGACCTTTGTCAGATGCATAGTGTGCAAAAATTTTCACCCACTCTATAGATTGTCTGTTTACTCTGTTGATAGTTTCCTTTGCTGTGCAGAACCTCTTAAATTTAATTAGATCCCATTAGTCAATTTTTGCTTTTGTTGTGATTGCTTTTGGTATCTTTGTCAGCCTGTTCCTATGTCCAGGATGGTATTGCCTAGGTTATCTTCTAGGGTTTTTATAGTTTTGGGTTTTACATTTAAGTCTTTAATCCATCTAGAGATGACTTTTGTATGTAGTGTAAGGAAGGGGTCCAATCTTCAGCATTTGACTCACCAGTTATCCCAGCACCATCTATTGAATAGAGAGTCTTTTCCCCATTGCTTGTTTTGTCAGCTTTGTCAAAGATCAGATAGTCATAGGTGTGCAACCTTATTTCTGGCTTTCTATTCTGTTCCATTGGTATATGGGTCTCTTTTTGTACTGGTACCAAGCTGTTGCAATTACTGTAGCCCTGTCTTATAAAGTTGGGTAGTGTGATGCCTCCAGCTTTGTTCTTTTTGCTTAGGATTGCCTTGGTAATCCAGGCTCTTTTTTTGTCCCATATGAATTTTAAAAGTTTTTTTCTAGTTTTGTGAAGAATGTCTTTGGTAGTTTGATAGGATAGCATTGAATCTGTAAACTGCTTTGGGCAGTATGGCCATTTTAACGATATTGGTTCTTCCAGTTCATGAGCATGGGATATTTTCCATTTGTTTGTGTCATCTCTGATTTCTTTGAGCAGTGTTTTGTAATTCTCATTGTAGAGATCTTTCACCTCCCTGGTTAGCTGTATTCCTAGGTATTTTATTCTTTTCGTGGCAATTGTGAATGAGATTGGCTTTCTGGTTTGGCTCTCAGCTTGACTGTTGCTGGTGTATAGGAAAGCTAGTGATTTTTGTACATTGCTTTTGTATCTGGAACTTTGCTGAAGTTATCAGCTGAAGGAGCTTTTGGGCTGAGATGATGGAGTTTTCTGGATATAGAATCATGTCATTTGCAAGCAAAGATAGTTTGACTTTCTCTCATCCTATTTGAATGCCCTTTATTTCTCTTGCCGGACTGCCCTGACCAGAACTTCCAACATTATGTTGAATGTAAGTGGTGAGAGAGGGCATCCGTGTCTTGTGCTGGTTTTCAAGAGGAACGCTTCCAGCTTTTGCCCACTCAGTATGATACTGGCTGTGGATTTGTCATAGATGGCTCTTATTATTATATTTTGAGGTATATTCCTTTAATACCTAGTTTATTGAGTGTTTTTAACATGAAGGGTGTTGAATTTTGTTGAAAGTCTTTTCTGTGTCTATTGAGATAATCATGTGGATTTTGTCTTTAATTCTTAAACATGCATATTAACCTTTCCTTTTATCCTTTTGTACTCTCTGGATGTGCAGACCCACCCACTCACTCCTGTAGATCCATTAGGCTACAGTTGCACTGTGAAAGGCACAGAGAGGGACCAGGGGAGAGAAGGAGAAGAAAACTGTTATTAGTCCATTCTCATGCTGCTAATAAAGACATATCTGAGACTGGGTAATTTATAAAGGAAAGAGGGTTAATTGATTCACAGTTCTGCACCGCTGGGGAGGCCTCAGGAAACTTACAATCACGGTGGAAGGGGAACCAAACACGTCCTTCTTCACATAACGGCAGCAAGGAGAAGTGCCGAGCAAAGCGGGAAAGCCCTTATAAAACCATCAGATTTTGTGAGAACTCACTCACTATCACAAGAACAGGATGGGGGATACTGCCCCTATGATTCAATTATCTCTACCTGGTCCCTAAACGATACATGGGAATTATGGGAACTGCAATTTAGGATGAGATTTGGGTGGAGACACAGTCAAACCACATCAAAAGCCTTCCTGGGAGGCCTAGCAAACTACAGCAATGGACGGCCATTCAAGGGGGAAAGACAGGCAGAAGACAAGTAAACACCAAGACTGGTGTGCCATTGCCCAAAGTCCACCCCTCCCCATTCTGGGCCAGACACACTACTCAGTGGCAGGCTTGAGTAAGAGGCAGATGATGGAACAGATCAAAGATGTTTGACTTGTGCTTTGGAGTACTGGTTAGGGGGGCCAGCCTGCCCATAACCGTACGATCTTCATATCATGTATTCTAAAAGTTACAAACTGAACTGAAAAAAAATTCCTTAAAAGTTTTATGGCCTCAAAGTCATATCCTTTTTGTTCTTCTGAAGGAATACTATAATCTCTCTCTTTTCAAATGTGTATCTGGATCTTTTTCAGACCTTTACTTGTTTGTTGTTACTCTCCTTGTTTGTAAAATACATGCTTAAATAACATTTCCAATTTATATGTTAAGTTTGGATCCCCTGTGCATCTAAAAACAATGCTCTAGAAAGTGTAGGATAAAGAATCTTGGGTTGTATTTATGTATAAAGTAGGACCCAGAACATTAATATATTAGAATAAGGTGAAGTGGTTAACTAGCTGTGGGCTGATGGATTCTCCCTTCAAATCTTCCTGCATACAGATCTGGAATAGCTGTTATATTGTACTATCCAATCCTAATATCATATCATATATCTAATATATAATGTCAAGTGGTAATAAGAGCCAGAAAGAAAAAATAAGAGTATAAATGGTTAGGTAGTGACCTGACGCAGGGTGGTCAGGGAAGGCTTCTCGGAGGAGGTGGTATTTTGGGCAGAGACCTGTGGGATGAGTGAGAGCCATCCATGCAGCTGTCAGTGGGGAAAAGGTTCTAGGCATGGGGAACAGCTGGTACTGGATACCTTGTCAGACCTATGGTCCTACCCTGTGGAGTGGCCTCCTCACCCCTCCCCACAGGCCCTGCAGGCTTTCAGCTCCTTGACCTCTGTGTCCCTCTAGGGCTCCTGTACACTACACATGGTGTCTGGGGCCCTGAGGTGGGTCACAAGAGATGAAGTCAGAGAGGTGATGGGACCAGTCATCCACGGCCTTATTTGGAAATGCTATATTTAGTTTATCCATGCATTATATCCATTATATCCATCCAGTGCTATATTTAGTTTATCTGTCCATGGACATTTGGGTTGTTTCCACTTTCAGCTATTATGAATAATGCTCCTATGAACTTTCATGGAGAAAGTTTTGTGTGTACACATATTTTCATTTCTTTTTATGCAAAGGAGAAAAACTGCTAAGTCATATAATAACTCTGTTTATCTTTTTGAAGAACTGCCAGATCATTTTCTATGGCTGCTAAATCATTTTATGTTCCTACCAGCACTGTGGAAAGGGTCCAGTTTTTCCACATCCTCACTAACATTTGTTCTAGCCTGTCTCTTTTATTACAGCCATCCTGGTGGGTGTATGTGGTGTCTCCTTGTGGTTCTGATGTGCATTCCTTAGTGATGTTGAGAAGCTTTTCATGTATCTCTTGGCTGTGTGCATATCTTTTTAGAGGAAATGTCTATTCAAATCCTTTGTCCATTTTTTATTTGTCTTTTTAGTGTTGCGTTGTAAGATTCCTTTATATATTCTGACACAAGTCCCTTATTAGACACATGACTTGCAAATATTTTCTCCTATCTTTTAGATTGTCTTTTTAGTCTTGATAATATCCTTTGAAACACAAAGGTTTTTAAGTTTAATGAAGTCCAGTTTATCTACTTTGGTCATTTATGCTTTGGTTGTCATATCTAAAAACATTAATCCAAAGTCATAAAAATTTCTACTTTGTTTTCTTCTAAGAGTTATGTAGTTTTGGCTATCATTTTTTAGGCCCTTTACTTTAAATACAAGTTATATGTTTACTTCATTATTCTCAAAAAGAGTAAACCAGTGTCCCTTATTTTAAAAAATCCATATTCAAACTGTACAAATTAGAGTGATCAACATTTTTTGTCTATAAATGGTGGTATCATTTACATAATATTGTTTGCTCCACAGAAAGCTTTCCCTCTGTCTCCTACTGTGTTCCTTCTCATTTCCTAATAACTAAAAATTGGGTACTTATTTGCTCATGTAATTTCTTTTACAACATTTTAAAACAATGTCTAATCATTTTGTTTACAAATAAAGTAGGTAAAATAAATTTATTTTCTGCTTCTTTGGTGTTTCCTAATTAAATTAAGATTATATGTAATATCGCAAGAAATATTTACTCAGAAAACAGCATCTGTTTACAAACTGTGGGTTAACATGTTATTCATAAGTTCACGTCAGTTTTAAGTGTTCATTAAAAGAATTTCTAAGCAACATTTCTTTATTCCTATTCAATTCTCATATAATCTAGAAATGGTGCAATATTTTTCTAAAATACCACTTTAACATTTTTCTTACAAAAGTTTTACATATATCCATTTTAGAAAAATGTTAAAACACAGATATGCAAAATGAAAAAGTCATCTGTTGAAGTCCTACCACCTAGATATAACCTCCATCACTGGGAAAGTGAGTTGAACTTCTGTTTGCATTTTCATTTGAGAAGACTCTTAAAATTCAAAGCCCCAGGAATGAAGGACAGTGTCTTCTTACTGAGAGTGTGGCTTGTTGGTTTCTTTATTATTAGTAGTAGTAGTAGTAGTAGCAGTATTTATTTTTTTAAGTTCTGACGCTGGTTTCTTACTGAGACATTTTAGACAAGTAATTTTTGTTTCTGAAAACTGAAGTCATTGCCATTACTGTTTTTTTCCTTGCAGATTCCACTCCTTTTTACTCTTTATGGGCCATCCACCTTACGCAATTCGGGAAGTGAACATAAACAAATTCTGCAGGATCATTAGTGAATTTGCACTGGAGTATCGCACAACCAGGGAAAGGGTTTTGCAGCAGAAACAGAAACGGGCCAACCACAGAGAGAGAAATAAGACCAGAGGGAAGATGATCACTGATGTAAGTTTCACACAGTTTCTCTCCTTATGTCATTCGTTTTCAAAGTAAGATCAATCAGGAATTCTCCCCACAGTTAAAAGCTGTGCTTTTTTTTTTTTTTGACTATTAAAAAAACAAATTCTTTCTTTGAAAAAGTGCTCTTAAAGTACTCCTCCACCATTTCTGTGAAAATCTGCTATATAACAAACAAGGACCTAGGAGATGTAAAGTTCAGAACGTGTGGCTAGAATAGGAACATGGAACCCATTTTGGTGTGTTGCATGTTGCTGATGACATTAAATGTTTGGTTCTATTTTTACCTCTGTGATATGGGTAAAGTTGGATGAAGACAAGAAAAATATAAAAGATAATGGCACTTATCATAGAAAGACAAATGTACTGATTGGGGAATTGAGTCACGATTTTAATCATCATAACGGTGCTATGTAACCAATCAGTTGACACATGGACCACCCATTTTGGGCATCTAAATAAATTGATGTGATTGCTCAAAGATATAATCTAATGGGCTCTCGCCAGTCCCTTGAATCATGGGACACCAGGGTGGAAAGAGATCCCAGAGGACAGCGAATCCAGTAGGAATTTCCCTGTAGCACCCTGGGGAGCCCCTGCACACTTACACGTCTCCCCTGCTCTTGGGCTCTTTCCCCATCTCTCCCGTCTCAGCCCCAAGCCCACCCAGGTCTTGGGGGGCAGTGCATATTCAGATGACAGATGCTCAGTAAAGTGGAGTGTGAAGGGTTACATGAAGATGCCAGAGACCAACGGAGATACATAGCGCAGGTTCCTTGTTCTTAATCTGCCTTTACAAAGCATAAAAACCAGGCTAGTATCTCACTTACCTCATCCATTACTGTAAGGTCAGTTCCAGGCAAAAGGCTGACATTTTCTGGGAATCCTCCTTTAGTCACTATTTATTCTTTCTTGAACAGACTCAACGATAATAAAGTCATCTTTTTTGATATTGACAGGTCATATTTGGAACTTGTTGAAGGACTCTAGAGTGTGATTTTTTTTTTCATGGTTTGAATTGATGCCCATGGATTTCTCCCATCTGTGCATGCATTTGAGTAGCACATGGACTTCTGGCAATAGAGGGAATGGAATGAGGAAAGGATTAAGCCACAGGGCGTGCCATCATCTGGGCAATTACACACTTCAACTGAACCCTAGTCAGGCAGATTTTTTTGGGGGAGGAAGACAACCAATTAGGAAGACCTCACTGAGGCCGCCCTATGTGCACAGACGTGTGTATGTAGTCAGCCAAGCAGAGGGCACTTGGTTACTGCTCTCTGGAAGTCCACATTCCTGAGGGTCTGACTTACATGGAAGGCCAAATGCATTAACTTACCAATTTTGTTGTTATTTTAAGAACCATGGGATAATCATTTCTCTTACGTAAGCTCCTTGTTTTCTTGGAATTTTCTAGACCTTTAGGAAGTGCTCAGGTCACTTTTCTGCAGAAGGAGCCCTTTCTACAGCTCTACCCCCGACCCAAGCAGTTCTGAATTCCAGTACCATCAGCCAAGAGTCTTCTGTCTCCTCTCCTGAAATCTCAGTTCAGTAGGATCCTTAGCCTCTTGGAGGACAGCAACCCAGGAAGCATATTGGATCGACTAGGGCAAACTGTAGCCCACATTTTATTCATAGTATTATTTTTTAAAGTTTAAAAACAGGGATTGCTTATTTTTGTGGCTATGAGACACATTGGAGGGTGAAAAATACAAGCCGAATATGCTTATAGTTATGTGGATACATCAAAATTTCTTGCTAAATTCTTGAGATTTTTTACAGAGCCCACTAATTTTTAAATTCTGTCTCTGAAAACATTTGGCTCTCCCAATCATAAACAGAGGTGAATGTTTCTGGAGTTTGATTGAAAAATATTTAAATTCCCATTAAAATCTGGACAGGACAGGCTTCCATCAGGAATCATTCCCAGCCTGGTCCATGTTTTTAATGGCCAAAGTGGCATCATTCATGTAGAAAGATTGCCCTCTGCTGGAAGATTAGGATATTGTCCGTTAAGGAAAAGTGTACAGCCTCGAGTTTTTGCAACTCAATTATTAAGGGCTCATTGTGCACCCAGCAGTGCCTGGGAAACCAAGGAAGATATGAGTATAAAGAAAAGCTTATATCCCAAGGACATCATAACCTGGTTAAAAGTGGCATATACACAACTTACACCACTGAAAACAAAGCCAGACTATATAGACTTAGAATCACAGACTCCCTGAAAGTTGGAGCTAGAAGAGATTTTAAAGAAAACTGTTTGTAGTAAATCACGTTGAATGTACATGCTGAATAAAACGAGGATGCAAGTGGTAGCATTTAGAGATGAGAGGTCTGAGGGTAAAATCTGCAGCCCCCAAGCACCAGCTCCTGAGTACCTACCTCTCTTCTTCTCTCCCTGTTTCTGGGTATTCAGAAGGCTTCCTTTCTCATCATCCAGGGGTCTTGCCAGGCCAGGCAAGTGAGCAAGCAATTACTTGCTCAATCAGTGAGCAAGTAATTCCTCATCCTGTGTACAAAGTTGTCCCTAGAGCAAATGGTGACATAGACAAGGCAACACGAGGCAACTACAGCCTTTCTGCCGCATTCACACTCCCGATGTGGGCTGTGAGAACCCAGGCTGGTGAATCCCAGGCCTCCCATGTTGGAGGGAGCAGTAATCCTGGGAGAGACCCTTAACCTCTCTCAACCCCAGCTTCCTCTTTTATAGAAAGGGAATGATGATTACTTTTAGGGATGTTGAGAGGGCCAAGATTTTATATATGTAGCACCTTGAACATGTGTGAATTTCTGGAAAAATGCCAGCCTTCCCAGGTTATATAAATAAGATTTTTTTAAAAAGAGTAATGGAACAGGGCTGTTGTCTCTTGTCACAATGCCATTTGGGTGAGGCAGTGTGGAATGTGATGGACTGGAAGTGGTTTGTCATTTTAACTTCCAAAAGCGTAGTTCATTCTCAAAACACTTTAATCTGATTTGCTGGCCTGGCCCTGTAACCTCATGGACACTCCTAAATTGAAAGTGTGTTTAATTTATGATCAAGAGATTGACATGACTTTTCACTCTCAATTTATTTTAGAAGAGGGATATTTTATTTAAAGTAACTTAGAGCAGTTTAGTACTAAAGTAATTAAAAGTACGGAGAGTCAGTTCAGGTGGCCACCATGAGAAACAGGTGAGATATTAAAAAGGAATTAATTTCATGCTCCTGAGGAGAGAGTAATCTGAGCATGCTGCTGGAGCAGTTGTCCCACTTGTCCTGGCTGGCCTGCATGTGGAAGGACTAGCGGTAGCCCAGACCGGCAGCCTGGGCAGGGAGGGATCCTGCACTTGGGATGGGATGGGAGGGCTGGCAGCTGACAGGCAGAGCCAAGCAAATGGAAGCCAGTCCACTTAGAGAGACCTTGGTGACTGTCAGGCAGTGATGGGTTCATAAGGATGTGGCCAGTATTGCCATATGGTTCACAGAGCAGGACACTCTTAGCAGGATGCAGAGCTGCAAGTGAGGTCAGTGCTGGTCAGGGAACCGAATAAGCTGACTGTTGACCTCAGGGACAGCCCCAGAAGATTGACCTGGAGCCCTGTAAGTCTCTCTGGTCACGGGTGATCTTGGAGTTCACGCAAGGAGTGTCCAGATGAGGACAAGAGGGTGGGGCCTGGCAGCTCCCAACTCAAGAGGATGTATCCTGGTTGTGGTGACAATTTGTTTACTTGGAATTTTATGTGCCATTGAGATGATCTTTTTGCTGACTTCTGTGCCTTCTAAGAATCCCTTCTGTCTTTTCCGTCCTGTCCTGTCCTGTCCTGTCCTCTCGGGTAGACTGATGACGAGGAGGAAGTTGAGGTATGACTGTTTATGAACATGAAGAATGCCACATTTGACCGCCTCATGTATGCTCTGGTCTAACCTAACATAATCAGCATGAAGTGTCAGCACCATTCAGTGCTTTAAACAATGCATGGACATTTTTCTGGTTGGTTTTTGTGTGATCACTAACCACCTGACAGGGGCCCTCATCATGCCACGTGTGCCGGGGACTGAAGGGTTAAATGCATTTTCTGAGCTGTCCCTGAGGCCTAGCTAATCAGTAACCATGTCACAAGTGGCAGGTTTAGCAGGTCTCTCCCTGCTGCTGGAAAAGTAGACAGAGAATTTTCCTTTGGCAACTTAAATATGAGAACTAGATTCCGGAATAACCACATGAAGAGGCCTGAAATCAAAGAGGAAGCGGCGCAGTGGCCAAGGGCCAGGCTAGAGTCTCAGCCCCCAGCCAGTAGGCAGCCTCCGATGTGTGCCCATTTCCTCTGCTCGTGTTAATGGCTCCCATGGGCCAATGTCCATGCAGTGGTAGATGGCAGGGGCTCCTCACCAGACCCTGGATGCAGGTGCAAGAACCAGAGACCAAAGGGGGCTAATTGGCCCTGGAAAATGAGGAGAGAGCTGTGTAGATGCTACAAGCCACAGATATGTCCCCAACCCTGTTGCCATGGCTGAAACACTGGGTGACAAAGGAAGCCAGCAATCTGTGGAGCTATTCTTTGCAAATGTTAATCTGACTTTTTGTTCTTCATCCAGGTGTTTGGCATTGTGTACGTATCGTATTCCAGCATACCTCTTTTAAAATATGTATGTCCTGACCTTCTGTTCGGTTACAGAAAATCAGCATGAATTTCTGTGTCTTGTTCTGTTCTGCGCCCTGACACTAATTCTTTTGGGGTCCCTGGAAAGCCACGTATTCTTGAAGGACCTCAGTTTCCTTTTCCATAAAAGCAAGGTGGGACGAGGTCTAGAAGAATTCTTCCCAACTCTTAACATGCTAGAATTCTGTAACTAAATCCCACTTTTGTAATTCTACCATCGTAAGTGATACTTAAGGAAAATTTAACTGCTTTCTGGCACTAAGTAAAAAAATAAAGCCCAATATGCTTAGTTAACAATGCATATTTCATTTCAATTCTCGTATCAGGGCTTTGGTGTTAGAAACACATTTGGCTTTAGACTTTCCCAGAACCAATGCCAGTCCTGGCAGCCACCCTTTGAGGGGATCTGAGTGAGTGAGAGAGACCACTACAATGGATGAATGGGTGATGGTCCTTGTGGGCGCTGGGGGCTTTTCTGTCTTATATTAGATCTTCCTGTAGGCACAGATGTTTTGTCATCAGTTAACAATTTCAGTGACTGCCGTAATGAATGTGTCTGCAAACAAAACAAGACAGAGGAGAGGAGGTTTTCCTCAACCGTGGGTTTTAGAAGCTTGAGTTGTCTTTTTGGGGAGTCTCCCTCACCTGCTAACTTCCCCTTGGTTTTGCAGTCCGGCAAGTTTTCCGGCAGTTCTCCGGCGCCCCCAAGCCAGCCGCAGGGTCTGAGCTACGCGGAGGATGCGGCTGAGCACGAGAACATGAAGGCTGTGCTGAAAACGTCGTCTCCCTCCGTGGAGGACGCCGCCCCCGCGCTGGGCGTCCGCACACGCAGCCGAGCAAGCCGAGGTAACTCCTGGCTGCGTGGGGCTCATCTTGTCTTCTCAGGTTGGCCACTCCAGGGGGGTCCGGTCTCCATGGCAGGCTGTGGTCCACGGCTGTGACTGGCCCTCAGCTCCAGTGCCAACGTAACCACACACATTCCTTCACTAGCGTCTTCCTGACCCGCCTTCAATAGCTTCGTCTCCAAAACAAACATTCCCACGAGAGTACCTCACTTCACACAGAGGGAATCCTTACGGGGGTGATCTCCCCAGGGAGGGCTGGGGCGGGCAGACTGTGACCTGCAAGCCAACTCCAGCCTTCCCGCTGCTTCTAGAAATAAAGTTTTGTTGGGACACAGCCATACTTACTCATTTGTGTAGTGTCTGTGGCTACTTTGGCAGAGTTGAGCCACTGTGACAGACACTGTAGGACCCACAGAGCCTGAAACATCTACTACACAGGACGAGGTTGCCAACCCCTCCGTACAGCACTACCCTCTTGGTCCCTTTTTTACATCCTTAGGCAGAGACAAAAACTGAAACTTCAAAATGGTGGCCAGATTCGAGTTTCCAGATTTGTTTTTATCATTAGAAGAGATTAAGATGCATTTGACATCTGTGAATGTTTCCTCGTGTTTCCTTGGTCTGGCCTGATAACCCGTTTACCCTCCTGGGTTTCCTCACTGCCTGCAGGGTGAAGCCCACACTACTCACACTGTTCTTGGAGGCTCCTGTAGGCAGGTCCTGTCCTGTCTCCCAAGCTTGGCTTTCCTTCACCCTGCATGGTCACCGCAGCGCTTCTCGGCACCCTGCATGTCCCGGAGTCCCCGCTCTTCTCATGCTGCTCCCTCAGTTCAGGATGCCCGCTCCTCTGCCTGTCCGGTTCCATTCACCTCCATTCACCTCCACACCCTGTGGCACCCAAAAAGGCCTAAGACATCCCATGTTATGAGCCTCTCTGTGCCCAGCAGCTCTTGCAGGCTTTGTATGCTAGGCTAAACATGGCCGACAGGGATGTGAAGGAGAACATTAATGCCTGCACCATGGTGACCCCAGCCATCAGGCCGGAGTCTTGAGCCCCTGTGCCTTGGTGGATGCAAGAGGAGTGCAGTTGAAGCCTTCTTAGGGGGTGGATCTCAGTAACGGAACATAAACAGGTTGTACCAGTTTTAAAGGAAAAGAAACATCTATTCCTGACCAGAAAGGATGAAGAGAAAAGATGTTGCTGGGTTTGTACAACATGCAGTCATCTTTGCTGGCCTATGAAAGGGATTAGAATGGGAGGCTGTTCAGTTTCTCTGCACATTAATGCCCATCTCAAGGGAGACTTCTGCTTTCATGTGTCGTGTGTTACGGAGTGACAAGTCACTCACCTGCTACAACAACTAGAAATACAAATAACCAAGCCTTCTTTTAAAAAACATTATAGAACTGTAAAAGGAAAGAGGACTAGACAAACTAGAATTGGAGGTGAGCTGACATTGCCTCTCTGTGAGCATTTGCCAAATCTGGGCACAAGCTGAGGATTGGGCTTACAGTGATGGAGTGACTCAAATGGGAAAGAGAAGCCAGCAGAATTTGTAGTAGCTGTGTGAACTGGTGTAAGAGATTGAAATTGAGAGGAGGCCAAAATGCAGATGATTTTCTCATGAGACATTTGGTAAATGCAGCACTGCAGAATGGGGGTTGGAGGGAGGAAGGTCAGTGGCTGATCCTGGGCTAGAAAGGTTGAAGGAGATGTCCTACAGTCTTTAAACTGAGGAGACAAAGATAGGCTAGAGTAAGCACCTTGAACAGATACTCACTGATCTTGGCCTCAAGAAAAAGAGAGGTGGGAAGTGGACTGCTTGTGAACTAAAGCTGCTGTCTGGCCTAAACCCAGCTCGGTACCTCACTGTATCTGTTAACAGAAGAGAAAAGACTCTCTGGAGGAAAATAACGCTGTCTTCAGTCTCTACGTCCTTCTATACACAAAGTCCAGTACAGTAAAAATTACAAGCCAGAGGAATAATATGAAAATATGACTGAAAATCAAGAAGAAAACTAGATAATAGCAGCAGACCCATAAGTGATTCAGATGTTGAAATCTACAGTCAAGGACTTGAAATGACCATTATAAATGTTAAAAACTAAAAGGAAACATAGACAGATGGGTAAAAAGATAGATGATTTCAATAGCAAATTGGACTCTATAAATAAGAATAAAATGGATATTCCAGAACTATAAAATATCTGAAATAAGAAACTCATTGGATGGGCTTAATAGAGATTGGTCACAGCAAAAGAGGAAAAATGGATTCAAAGGCAGGTTAATAGAAAATGTACAAACAGAAGAATAGTGAAAAAATGGAAAGAATAGAATAAAATGTAAGATCTGAGGGACACACAGTTGCATGGTCTAACGTGTAATTGGAATACTGGAAAAAGATGGATCAGAAGCAATATTTGAAGAGATTGAATAGATTTGAAGAGATGGCTGAGAATTTACCAAAACTGATGATAAATATCAACCAACATATTTAAGAAACTTAGCAAATCCAAGAAGAGTAAGTACAAGGAGAACCATACCGTAGACAAAGTGCTAAAATAAATAAATAAAGATAAAATCTTGAAAACAGAAAAGAAAGATACATTGCCTCCTATGGAGCAATGGTAATAATGATGGCTCAATTTTCAAAAGGAACTATAGAAGCCAGAAAGAAAAGGAATGATACCTTTAAACTGCCAGAAGAAAGAACTTCAACTACGGAAGTCTGTCTTCAGAGAAATTATCTTTCAGAAATGAAAGCAAACTTCTTACATTAAAACAGTAGAATATCTATTTTGACTTAAGCGTTTTCCTTGTAGACTCTTTAGATTAGATTTCTATAAAGGGAAAAACAAATTTCAGTGCTTTCAAATCTCAGTTTTCATGTTTTAGAAATATAAAAGTAAAGTGATAGTGTACTATTATGGTCTAGAATGCTTTATCCTCTCCACCACATCTCAAATGTCTTGCTAACACTTACTAACTAACATGGTCCCTTGGGTATGTAAAATGTGTGTGCAGTATTACCCTGATGGCTACGGTGTGGGTGCAAGGGTTCCAGGAAGAGGAATGTATACATGACTAGGAAGAATGGAAATAAATGGTAATCAGGCAGTGGGAAAGTAACCAAGAGGAGCAGACATAAAGTAGAACCAGGAATGAAGTCTTAAGAGAATGAAGTCATCATAAAATTGAGTTTGACAATCTTGGACCTATGGCAAGATGTTTCCTTTCAGCATCTCCTGACACGTTACATTGACAGAAGATCCTTAGGGTTGTGTAAGATGGAAAAATATAGGTAATTCTCAGAGGGAAGATTAGATGATGCCTTCATTTCTGGCCCAGTGCTCTGATAATGTATTATGAGCAAAGACAATTTATTGAGCTTTGCATGTTTTTAGAAGGTAGTTTGGCATTTTAAGGTAAGACAGAGAATTATACATCAGTAGATGAAAGGGAACACAGGAAATTGCGGGGTAAAACACAATTGCACGATTGATTGCTCTACTCTGAGGAGGACCATTGTTCAGAGGATCTGCAGAGGCCCAGTCTAAAAGCTGTGGCATTATAAGGACTTTTACTTCCAATTAGAATACCTCGACCATTCTGAGAATGCAGACACATTCAGCAGCAATTTCAACAGTTTATTTTTGAAAAGAATCTATTTTTTAAAGGGTTTATAATGCTGAAAAAACTGGCCTAATAGCAAGTAGATCAAATTCCCTTGGGTATAAGCACAAAAAGTACAATTTACTGTTTTTGCATGTGCCCATGCTGTAGGTATGCTATCATTTAAAAAATAATAATAATAAAATCTAAGCAAAACAAATTTTTTAAAAACCTGTATCAATAATAACAGAAATCAGAGTCTCACTTCGTTGCCCAGGTTGGAACATAGTGGCGTGATCTCAGCTCACTGCAGCTTCTGCCTCCTGGGTTCAAGCGATTCTCCTGTCTCAGCCTCCTGAGTAGCTGGGACTATAGGTGCACGCCATCACGCTCAGCGAAGTTTTGTATTTTTAGTAGAGACGGGGTTTCACTGTGTTGGCCAGGCTGTTCTTGAACTCCTGACATCAAGTGATCTGCCCGCCTCAGCCTCCCAAAGTGCTGGATTACAGGTGTGAGCCACCGTGCCCAGCCAACAGGAATCTTGCCATTTGAAAACATCATTGTTCTATAGCCACAGGTTTTACGTACATGCAGGTGACAGGGCACCTGGTATCCTGGCTCTCCTTTTGCAAAGTGTGAAATATTTATGTATTTAATTCAGTCATGAATTTTACTATTAGAAATTATGACTACTTTATAGCACAGTATGTATTTGCAGCAATATTTCAACTAACACACACATACACACACACACACACACACACACACGAAAATCACAGTCCACTGAACTGTGATCCACTGTTCCCAACCATTTCCATTGACATCTATTTTTCTTGGTTCATTCATTACCAGTCAGGTGATTGTAAGCACTTAAAAAAAATTAGTGTGGGAGAACTCAAACATTTTAACTATTTATTAACCCTTTTTTCCTCCAAGTTGGGAAAAGCTGGCAGTTCCCTAGCCTGTGTTATACTTTAGTCAGGCTGGGGGTACTTTTGTGCCATAGGCAATGATTCCGAGAATTCTCACCTACAGGTTTCTGAAGTTGTTGTGCATCTACTATAAAATGAAGTGTAGGTGGTAGAAATTAACAATTTTGAGCATATTGTACATCTTTCCTCTTGTAGCAACATATATTCACTATCGTACAGAAGAGATTTCACAAGAAGGCTGATCGATTACAAAGATGTAGTTCTGGATATATTACATTAGCATTAATTTCTAACTGTTTAACATTGCAGTTGACCTTTGAACGACTTGGATTTGATGGAGCACATCTACCTACATGCAGATTTTTTCCAACAATACCGATCAAAAATAGAGTATTTACAGGATGTGAAGCCCATGTGTATAGAGGGCTGCAAATTCAAGTTCTGCAGGGTTGACTGTGGAACTTGATTATGCACAGATTTGGACATACTTGGGGGTGCTGGAACCAATCCCTGTGTATACTGAGGGATGACTGTACACGGGACCCATGTTTTGGTGATGCTTTCTTCTGACTTGTTTTAATATGTAATTTATAAACTACAGAAAATGTGGTTGAGGGAGGAGATTTATGTACCAGAGAAAATTTAAGTTCACAACCCCTTTGCTGCTTAAAGAGGGCAATCCTGTTACAGTTGTCTATTAAAAGCTAGATAATTCAAAGATAAACTGTGTATTATAAAAATCTATTGCTTTCTACTTAGTGAGAAGTTAGGGTCAGCTGACATTGACTAGGCACATACAACCGGGGATAGAGAGCTGCCTCAATAAGACATTCAGTGGGTCTCTACATTACTGGGTGTGCACCACCAGATATTGATGACTGTGCAGCAGGGTGTGGCTTGGGTCATCTGCCCTCAGATAATCATAGGACCTGGCAAGTAAATACAACACACCTGGGTTGGAGAGTTAAATAATAATGAGAGACAAGAACACAGATGTGTTACAGGGTAGTATGAAATAAGTGCCCCGTGTATGGGTTTGATCAGAGCCTGTGGGGTAGCAGTCACAGGGCCTGCAGGGTAGAGTGCTCCCTGCAGTGGGGACAGGTTAGCCCTCTGGATCTATCACTAGCTCTGGGGCTCTAACTCTGGCCTTACCTGTGATCTGTTGCTGAAAGAACTCAGTTGCTTGGAGGAATAGTGCTGCACATCATCCTTCGTATTTTCCTTCTGAGTATGTTGTGCACTCTGGCTGTTTAATTCTTAGGATCCACTAGTTCCTGGACTATGGGAACTGATGACTCGCCCAATGTCACAGACGATGCAGCTGATGAGATCATGGACCGCATCGTCAAGTCGGCCACCCAAGTGCCCAGTCAGCGAGTGGTGCCGAGGGAGAGGAAACGATCCCGGGCCAACCGGAAATCTTGTGAGTGCATTAAAGGAGGCGTGAGTGTTCACCCCTACAGGGATCTGCCCTCCCATTCTATGTGAACTGGGAAAGGTGGAGACACAGCTCCAGTGAATTGTCAGTGGCTCCCAGAGTGCCTACTTGCACTCATCCACAGAAGGTTTCAGGGTTGGCTGTCAACGTTGGCCATTGTGGAGGAGGGGAGCTGCGGCCACACCTGTTCAGTGTATCTGCCATTGGTGGCTAGGCCTCTCTCAATGCATACTTTGTTCCCAGGAAGGTATGAAAAGTCCTTAAGCGTCTGTGGTGTATGGGGTGAGCACTAGTGGAGCCCATCGTTAAGTCCAGCCAAGATGCTCTGCTGGAGGCTGTGTTTCTGCCTTGCACCCAGCACCAGGGGGCGCTTGTGGGGCTGGAGACTGGCCCTCCTGGGTTCATCGCTGCCCACAAGCATGTTGAAGGCAAAAACCAGGGGTAGCAAGTGATTTGATGGTCACTGGGATGCTTGAAACATTTAGCGTGGCCTAGGTTGACCGTTTTTTACTTTTCCCACCAAATAGAGGATTCACCTAAATCAGAGTGACTGATTTTCCTTTTTGGTCTGAACCTTCTGCCTGCTCCTGCCCACCCATCTCATGGGTGTGGGGTTGCCTCTGTCTGACCCTCTCAGGGACAGTGCTCCATAGGGAAACAGGATCCTGTGGATCCTTTGACATCTCCCTGCATGAGCTGTGGCCTTGAGTGTTTCAGAAGAGTGCTCAGCCCGCCGCTGGGCCACTCTAGAGGCTGCTTTAGTCTCCACTGGCTTTGTCTCTGAGAATAAGGGCTAGTGACAGGGAAAGAAAGCCAGAGGCTTCCTCCTGTTTTCTCCCAAAAGTGAAATGAGTGGGAGTCCAGCTAGGCAGGGAGTTGAGTAAGGACTCAAATTCAGAGAGCCCCGAACTTATTCCACCCTTGAGATTCACACAGGAGGTGACCAGGGTGTGGCCTGTGTATGTTGGACCCAGTGGTTCTGCTTGACCCATTTACAAACGTTTCCAGGATACAGAACACTAACCCACATTCCTGTGGTCCCTGCTCCTTTCCTATGATCTGCTTTAGTTTCTGATGAGAATTTTTCCCCAGAAAGGAAAATAACACTTGAGTTGGGGGTAGGAGTGCAGATGGGGATGGGATGGGGAGCAGGGAATGAGATTCTCATTCAGTAAGACGGGTGGACTGAGCGTCTGTTTCTGACAAGCTCCTAGATGAGGTGAATGCCTCTGGCCCTTGGTACACACTGAGTAACAAGGTTCTTGAGCTGTGGTTCTCAACCCTGGATGCACATTAGAATGTTCTGCGGAGATGCTTAAATTCCTGATATTTGGGCTGCACCCACACCCACTACTTCAGAACCTCAGGCGTGAGGCCTTGAGGTGTGGGTCCCTGTCCCTTGGATTAGTGGCATTAGGTGTGGGCTTTCTCTTTACTGTATGCCTGCCTTCCTCTGCTCTCCACTATGTTTATTTCATTTTTTAAATGGAGAACTATCATTCAGGGAGACTGGCTTGTACATATTCAAGAGTATGTTTATAGATTCCAAAATCAATATCTAAGGCATTTACATTTCTTTCTTCTGATATTTTCCTATATTCTCAGTGCTACTATGAATTTTTTGCTTGTCTCCTGGTGCACTTGTAAGAACTTGGCTGGGGGCTTGCAACTCAAAGTTGGACCTCAGACAATATGAGTATCTCCTGGAGGCTTGTTGGAATTGCAGATTTATGGACCCTCTTTCCATGGCAACTGATTCAAATCTGCATTTAATGAGATCCCCAGGTGATTCATGTTCATAATAAGATGGACAGCACTGGGGCATGAGACCAGGAGTGGAAACTCTTCTCCAAAGGGGCGAGGCTAATCCACACTCACACTCTCAGCTGCATCTCAGTTGCTCTAGGCCAAGGCAACGCTTCCATTTTTGCCTATCTGCAGGGTGTGAAATAACAGTTCCTGTGGTTTTAATTTACATTTCCCTTCACTCTAAGGAGGTTGAGCCTATTGCCATTTGCATCCATCTCTCCTTTTGTGTATGATTTGTCTATATTATTGGCTCATTTTTTGTGATAGGAAATCTCCTTAAATAGCTTTTGAAATGAAACTTCCAAAAGACTTTTTGAGGTCTTAAGTAGGTTATCTTCAGTAGTTGCCCTTTACTGGCCTCCTGTTAGTTCATTCAAGGAGGCCAATAGCTACTTCAGGGTCACCACATGGCAGGAACCTGCACACCAGTTAACTTCTGGTCTTTCTGGTGTGGGCAGCCTCATTGCAGGGCTCACCGTGGGGGAGGAGCTGGGAAGAGCCATGGAGAGGTGGGCCAAGGGAGAGGGTTGGACTAAAGCTGTGAAGACAGAGCCATCCCATTTGTCAGGTGCGTGGCACCCTGATGGAGGGTTGGAAGGTTTGGATCACGGACCTCAGACAGGAGACAGCATAGGACATTGGACTGGCTGGTCCCTGGAGGCCCAGAGCATGTTCTCCTCCAAGTCTGCACGGCCCGATCCTCTGGTCTACAGAGATCCAAATTCTTAGACTCCTGATTTCACTGGGCACAATAACGCAGTCATAATTAATTTTCCTCTTCAATCTGGCCAGAGAGATGTTTTTGCCTGTTTTTGTGGCTGACATAAAATAATTTCCTGTGGTATCATTTCCATTTCAATTTTATGCAAAACAGCCATATACTCTTTTTATTGAGCCAAACACATTTTTCCTGTGACACAGTTACTATAACAAGTACAGCACAGAATGGATGTGTTTATCTGTAATGGGTTTATTAGTAATGGCACTATCAACAGAAATTTAAGAAGGGAGAAGTTAGACTTTGATTTCTGTTATAAAGGGATGATAAACTCCAGCTTTTCACAGAGGTTAAAGGAACAAGGAAAAGCAATTTGCAAAATCAATGTGAAGTTTAGCGGTTTGGGCCTCATGCTGAAACAGTGCTGTATTTGATTTGTTTAATGATGGCAATGAGGCAAGTGGATAATGAATAACCAACATATTTGGGCCATAACTCATTTGGCTAAAGACAATAATAGTTCTGCTCTTGCAGGAAACGAAACAGAATCCATCCCATAACCTTGAAATTTATGGCCCGCAAGGCAAGGATCAGAGATAATTAAATGTCTGCTTTCATGTTTGATGCTGGTGACTGGGCCCACATGTGCTGAACGTCCCTGAAGCCTGAACTTTGCAGTCAGCTGGGATAGCCAAGGGCATCATAATCGATTCACAGGTTCCTATGGCTCACATCGTCTGCTCTCCCAGCTGGTGCCAATCAGAGGCACATTGAGTAAAATGTTTCAAATCGTCCAGGTGATCTGTAGCCTGTGAAATGGCTGATCCAGCTTATCTCGGGCGCCCCTCTCCCCCCCACACCGGATTCTACCCGAGGATCTCCAGTAGCACCTAATGATTTCTAGAGCTGATTAAAGATGGACTAGCCTCTCCTGTAATGACAGCAGAGGGTGCCTGTGCATGAGCACAAGACACGGGACAGGAGGATAAACAGAGCAATTTCAAGAGAGAACTGAGGTCTCTTCCCTAAACCCAGGTAGAGAGTCACTGCCTTTTAGAGAGCATCCGTTGCTGCAGAGCAGGGCCAGGCTGGAGGCCAGGACACTGATATGCTAAGTCAGAAAGTCGGGGCTCTGGTGGAAGCCTCGGGGTTAGTGAGGCGGATGCAGGAAGAGTTTTGAAGTGTTTCACTGCATTACATGGCTCTCTGGTGGTTTCACTTTTAGACAAATCACCCTCCCAAACAAGGGGAACTGGCACATTAAAGAGGAGGTTTGTCTATAGGTCGCCCCGGCAGTGTCCGTCTGAGTGCCAGGTTCAAAAGGATGAAGGAGCAATAAAAAGATGAATCCAAGAACCTGTCTTTCCTGCCTTTTTGAGGGGAGGCATAGGGTTCCCATGGTGGTACTCAGGGAGGTGTCATGCACCTGACCGATGGATGTTACAGTATTTCATCATTTTTGCTGAGTAAAAATGACAGACCCTCCGCTGTCTTCACAGGAGGAGCCAGTCCATCTTTAATCAGCTCTAGAAATCATTAGGTGCTACTGGAGATCCTCGGGTAGACTCTGGGCAGTGGGGGCGGGGAGGGGGGGCACCCGAGGTAAGCTGGATCAGCCATTTCACAGGCTAGAGATCACCTGGATGATTGGAAACATTTTACTCCAAGTACAAGTGGAATCCATTTCCATGCTCAGGAATGCACACATGCCCACAGCAGGGATGGGGCCTGGGTCTCATGTGAGCGACTTGGCCTTACCGAGTATCAGTCATCTTTTGTACGATGAAGGCAGTAGTGCCAGCTTCCCAGGGCGGTTGTGGGGTTAAGTGAGGGATCTATGACAGGTTCCCACCACCTTTCTTCCCTTCCAGGCTGTGTCTCACTGCTGCCCAAGGGACAGGTTGCTGATGTGAATTCGTTGCTGCTTAAAGGTGCTTAGGGTCTGCTGTGCACATCCTGACCCAACTGTCTGCTCCTTTCACCCACCTCACTCCCCACCACACCGTCCACTTCACTCTGGCCTGCTGCAGTTAGTAGCCCAGACCGATCTTCACCACTTTTTACCCCCAGAATGCTTGCGCCTGCGCACATAAAGGCTGCATTGTCAGCCATAGCACTTGGCCAGCACTGTTGAGATACCCCAGGCAGAGGGTTGACACTCTCTGGGAATCTGGGAAGGGGAAAGGCAGTTTTGTCCTGCCCAGAACTTAAAATATTGTGGAAAACTCTGAGTCTGTCATTTTCTGAGCTGCCTTTCCTTTCTATCCTTAGTTTAGGTAGATTCTCCCAGAAAACAATGGGCAGAACTTATTTTTCCTTTCAGGCCAAACTCTCCCTTTGCCCACCCCCAACATGACTCACAGGAGGAGGCAGTTGGTGCTCACACTTTACCCGACAGCTTTCTGTTCCGTTCCTACCTGGGAACCAAAGAGACTTTTCAGGAGAACAGGATGCTAATGTAGCCACAGGTACAGGAGGGGGGCATGGGCTGGGCTCTGCAAGGCCAGGGAAGCCACAGCCAGACCAGTGACGGCAGAACGAGTATTTCTGAGTGCCATCTCAGCGTGAGTGAACTTCATTTTGGGTTAGATGGAACTAGGAGACTTCAACCTTGTCACCACAGACTGTCACTGTCCTGAAAACCCTGCCTTTTCCTGCATCTCCGATGACAGTGATTTAAGTCAGGGGCCCCAAACCTGGTCATCTGGTTACCCAGGGAAGCTTCAAATGCAGTGCCCGAACCTCTCCCAGAGACTCTTGGTGAGTCCAAGAAATTGAATTTCAGTCAACTAGATTTGGGAATGTCTGCTTTTTGTTGTTGTCCTGGGTTTTATTGCTTCAACTTTTTATTCTGAAAAAATATTAGACTTACAGAACAGTTACAAAAATAGTAGGACAATTTTTGGTACAGTACTATTAACTGAACTGTAGGCTTTATTCAGATTTCACCAGTTTCTCCACGAAGGTCCTATTTTTGCTCCATGATCCTACCCAGGATTCCACATTGCATTTAGCCCTCATGTCTGCTTAGTCTCCTCTAATCTGTAGGGATAGTTTGTGACCTTGGTATTTTTGAAAAGTACCGGTCAGTTATTTTGTAGAATGTCTTTCCATTTGGGAAGCTGTGCATATGATGGACAGGATTTTATATGAAAAAAAAGGAAGTCCCAGGGAGCACATCTGGCCCTACCATTTTACCTCCACTCAGAACAAGGAGGGCGTGCATGGATGGTGTGAACAGTGGCCGAGCCAGGGACCTCTCAGCCACAAGACATGGACATTTAAGGCATCTTTAAGTTCTGATATTAGTCAACTAGAATCCTAGACACATTGCTCCCAGTATGCCTGGTAGAAAATCTTTGGGATCTTAGGGATTTAAAAAACCCAAAAAACTGATTTTCAAATTACACTTGACAATTATGTGCAAAAAAACCAGAAATAACATCTGTCAGTGCTGCAAAGGGGAAAGCGCACAGATGGATTTCTGTCACCTGAAAGTAAAGTTGGGTCAATTTCCTGTTGATATGAAAGATGGTCAGGAACGGTCCTGCCAAGCATCGGCAGTGCACAGCTGTTTCCAGTGTGGGCTGTGATCCAAAGTCGGCTCACACCCTTCTCTACCACTTACTTGTGAGCCTGCCGGCCGGTGACCAGCTTCTCTGGTCCGGGTTTGCTTGCTTATTGAAGATAAAACAAGAGTTCGCATCTCATAGTGTTTCTATAAAGATTAGGTGGAACAACCCATGTAAACACTCAGTAAATGGCGGCTGCCATTGCCATTGTTCTCGGATGCGACTCATCTTGGTAGAATCGCCTGCGAACCCTTTGTGGGATTTTTAAATGTTTTCATTTCTAGAGAGGAAGAAAAAGAACTTGGGTGTTTCTTCCTAAGTTCCCAGACAGTCCTGTGCTGCATGCTGGCAGCAGAGGCGCCCCGTATCAGATTCTTCCACCATCACTGATACTGTGAGAACTGTCACCAGGGCCTGGGGTGCAGGGTGGCTGCTGGTGCCTTCAGAGTGACCCCTGCCATCTATGGCAGAGTTGCGAGGCAGACAGGGATAAACATTTCCAGTCTGTTCTCTGTTATGAGCTTTCGGGGGAGGCCGTCCCGTGGGAAAGGCTGGAGAGCAGCTTTGATTCAGCTGGAGCATTTGAGTGGGAAGCAGAAATGAGGAGTGGGGAGAGGCCCAGGTGTCATCAGACCGCAGCCAGCCCACCTTGCCGCAGTGCTGGAGAAGCCTCTCTACTGGGTGGCGGAGTTGTTTCTGCTGTGGAAGTTTGCTGTGTACCATTTCATACCTTGCCAGCACCTGTTTGCTGGCCCCCTTCTTTTGTTCTCTTACGTCCCCAGCCTTTTTTTTTGCTTTCTGGAAACTTTCTGAGAGCCAGCTCCCTGTCTGGACCCGGTCTACTGCCCTGAGTGTTTCTCCCCACGCTGTATCCCTGTCAGGCCCCGGCCTTTCTCCGCAGAGGCTGGCGTTGCAGAGGCTCAGGGTGCATATGCACGTGATGTTTGATGAATGACAAAGGAACTGATCAGCAGTTGACCAGACACCCAAGGGGGCCCTTGTTGCACGTGACTTGAATTGGGTGCAAGACTGATTTCAGCTGATTACTTTTTTTTCACGTGGTCTTTCAAGTGGTAAGGTGAATTAACTTTGGCTAACAAAGGAAGGGTTCAGATTCTCAAGGTATTTTTCATTATACCAAGGGGCTAACATATATCTAAGAGAATTTATTTTTCACATTGCCATGGAGGGCCATAGAAAGTAGGATTTCATAAATGGGGAAGACTTTTCCGTGAATACTCGCTTTTCAGGGGTACATCTGGTAAGCTAAGGGAATGAAGCCTATGTTGGCTTTTCCCTCACAGCAGAGGACACATGAGCCCCAACTAGAGGGTGAAGGAGGGTCCCAAGGGGTCTGGAATATCCAAACCATGAGTAGACCTATGAGGGAGAGGGCACAGGCTCTGTGCTGTCAGGCAGCAAGGCCCATGCAGGTACCATTTAGTTCTGTTCCCTGAGCCTGTCCCAGATAGGCTGGCCCAATGCCCAAAGCTATTAAAAGACTGTTACATGAGCTGTAAGGTGATAGGGCCCTTATTCAAGTATTAATATTTATATCAACTGAACTGAGCAGTTACAGGACTAAAGCAAATGTGCAAACAGAAGTGTTGAGCATCTTTAAATACCTTCATGGGTAAAATGTCTGTGGGGTCTTCTGTAGTCATTTGGCCAAAATATATACCTAAACGGACAAAGATTCATAGACTGATGTCCACACCACCTTCTGTGGCTGGTGAAATTTAAGATACCCGGCTAGTGCAGCATGAACTACTTCTTTTTTTTTTTTTTGAAATGGGGCCTCGCTCTGTCACCCAGGCTGGAGTGCAGTGGCACGATCTCAGCTCACTGCAACCTCCACCTCCCAGGTTCAAGCGATTCTCTGCCTCAGCCTTGTGAGTAGCTGGGACTACAGAGACGTGTGCCACCATGTCTGGCTAATTTTTGTATTTTTAGTAGAGATGGAGCTTCACCATGTTAGTCTCAAACTGCTGACCTCAAGTGATCCACCTGCCTCAGCCCTCCCAAAGTGCTAGGATTACAGGTGTGACCCACCATGCCCAGTCAGCATGGACTTCTTTAGGAAGTATTTTGTATCTTGGTTAAGAAGTCTCAGCAAGAGGTCTTCCTTGTCAAGAGAGATATTTTATCTTACTTACTGTTGTTAAAATTATCTTTCTTTAACAAACACTCTAAGGAGTCTTTAAAGAATGTAAAAGGTTATCCAAACTAGTATTTTTACTGCTGCCCCATAGAACAAATTCTATTACTCAGTTGAATGTAATCTGCCTCCAGCTGAGACGTAGGAGCCAAGCATTTTGTCTTGTTGAGCCAGACATTCAGTCTGGAGGCCAAGGGATCAGGGGTGGGAGAAGTAGTAGCTAGTGCAAGAATAGCTACGGATAGATGGCTCTGGGGCCCAAAGCTAGGCTTGGAAATACAGTAGTTGCGGTGACACGATTTGAGAGAACCTCTCACCACATATCCCATGTCTCTCTAAAAATCCATACTTGATGTCTGTAAGTGTTTTGATTCTTTGAGTTAAATGCTGAGCACACAATGCGTTCTCAATAAATCACTTGTTGATTGACCAACTGATGGATATGATGTTGACTCCTGTTCCAAGTGCTGATTCCTGGAAGAGAAGGAGCCCTTTATTTTCAGAATAGATATTAGTCCCCATTGATTCTGCCATGGACATAGGTCTTTCAGATCTTTTGTCCACAGGCTGAGTGAACCTTTGTTTAGGGGATGATGGGGAGGCACAGACCACGTGGTGTGGCCTGCAGATGCATGAGGTAGGCCCTGGCCTCTGGGGAGTGGATGAGGGGAGTTGTCAAAGGAAATGGGGAGACATTAAGGGGAGCTTACTTTCTCTGAACTTTGATCAACAGCCTGCCCTGGTCATCTCAGGAACTCTGGCTGATTTGGGATTTAGAGTGAAGGCAGATCCATAACATTTCTCTTCTGAAAATGAATACCCCAAACTCTGTGCGACCTTTAAAGAAATGCACAGTGGGTCAAATACAATTTGTAAATTAAGGAAAATGTAATCAGCTACCCTTTCAAATGAAGACTTGTCTTGGGTGAGGCAGCTACCTCCTCATTCACCCTTATCCAGCCTTTATTTTGATGTTGAAATTAAAATACTAAACAATGGGAATACCATCATGCCAAGCTAAACACAAGCCAGTTCTAAGTCAGTTAAGTATGAGCATCCCTCCAGTTGCCAACGGCAACCCCCCAGTGAGAGTGATCATTGGCCCTTCTTGAGTCTTGTGTGTTCCATAGAAAACAGTGACCAATTCCACCCAGAATAAGTTTGGCAGTTTGCTCCTTAGCCTCCATTCCTCGAGGAGCCACTGGTTATTTTAATTATTGTCTCTAGAGGCCTTTTAATGAGTTGAGGCTAAGACCCACAGTACTCATGGAGAGATCCGTCCTCACTGCTGCCCCTTGCCCTGGCTTCGTGAACTTGCTCTGGGGGGCCATGGTTCTTGAGCATGTCCCCAGCTATTGCTGGTCCTCCCTTGGATTTGTGAGGTTGCTGGGTCTTGCAGAACCCCTTGCTGTGCACTGGTTGCCTCACCTCATTTATATTAGTGGAGCTTGCATTTTCCTCTCTGGAATCACCTTCCCAGCTCTGATACACTCCTCATACGGGGCAGATGCTGAGGTCTCTCCTGCCCTCTGCACTTGTGCAGTTTGTACCCCCTTCTCAGAAGCCTCGTGAAGGTGAGCCCCTCCTTTCTCTCCTCTTTATAAGTGCCCCCACCACTCCTCGCGGCCCTCCAGATCAGCACCTGTGGCATTGTTAGGCCAGCCTGTGTAGCCCCAAACGTTTGCCCTGGCAGACAGACTGCAGGGCACTTCAGCAAGGGCAGGAAGGTGCAGTGTGAACCCTCTGGCTTCTCTGGAAGTCCCTGGGGAGAAGGGGGGACTGGGGTCCTGACTGCCCCGTGCCTTGCTGCTCATACTTCCTTTTCTTCTCATCCCTTTGGCTGCGGCCTGCGCCACCACTGCAGTGCGAAGAACCCTGAAGAGCGGCCTGACCCCGGAAGAAGCCAGAGCCCTGGGCTTGGTGGGCACCTCAGAGTTGCAGCTGTGACACTCATGGGGTACTCCCAGGAGTGTGCTGAGCAGAAGGCAAGCTCTTGCTGGATGAAACCTCTCCAGGTGGGGTTGGGGAGACTTGACATTAACATCCAACAGTTTGAAAAGGGAGAGCTCAATTCCCAGTGTCACCCCATGGCTTGTGTTGCCTGCTACGCATTGACTTGGATCTCCAGGAGTCCCCTGCACATACCTTCTCCATCGTGTCAGCTGTGTTTTTCTTGATTCCATGACACCCGGTTTTATTAGTTCCAAAGTGTGACACCTTTTCTGGGCAAGGAACAGCCCCTTTAAGGAGCAAATCACTTCTGTCACAGTTATTACGATAATATGAGGCAATCTGATTAGCTTCACAGACTGAGTCTCCACAACACCGAAATATCGAGATGTAAACCCCAAACTTGTACACAAAAGAAAGCACAGATTGTTTACCAGTTGTGGATTTTAGATGTACCAAATGTTTATACAAATACATAAATGTACACCATGTTTCAAATACTAAATAAATAGAGTTTAATGCCATAACGAGAAATTTTATTCTCCTGGGAACAGGATCTTAAACAGTTCCGCAGGCTCGCCTCTTCAGAATGGCAACACTCCTCTCAGTGTCATCAGAAGCACCTTCGCTTGGAACGGCCTTCAGATCCTGTGGGCTCTATTTTGTTAATAGAGTGAGTAGCATCAACAGTGTGCTCTTTGGAACTCCTTTTATAATTGGGCCTAAGTCCTTGTTATGGGACATGTTAGCTGTTGTTAACCTAATATCTATCACCTTACCTGTGTGGTTTTTTTTGCCCCATCGTGATGTGGAAGCAAAGATGAGAGTAGCAGTTTACAAATTTGAACTATTCCACAACTCACTCACTGGCCTCTTATGTCAAAATTCATTTTCTCAAAAAATTTACTAAATCACCAAAACAAAATGGAAATGTAAAGCTTTTTGTACAGAGAGCCGCAGAATCGCATACTTAGTATTGTCATGCCTCACTTAACGATGGGGATATGTTCTGAGAAATGTGTTTTTAGGCAATTTCATCATTGTGCAAATATTATAGACCATTACACAAACCTAGATGGTACAGCCTATTATGTACCGAGGCTATATGATACAGTCTGTTGCTCCTAAGTCACAAATCCATACAGCATGTGACTGACTGAATACTGTAGGCAGTTGTAATAGTGGTATTTGTGTTTGTAAATATACCTAAACATAGAAAAGGTACAGTAAAAATACAGTATCAAAGATAAAAGGTGCACCTCTATAGGGAACTTACTATGAATGGAGCTTGCAGAACTGGAAGCTGCTCTGGGCAGGTGAGTGGTGAGTGAATGTGAAGGCCTGGGACATTACTGTGCACTTTTATACATCTGGCAGCATAATAGGTTTGTTTACGCCAGCATCACCACAAACACGTGAGTACTGCAGTGCACTATGACATTATGACGGCTACAATGTCACTGGTGATAGGAATTTTTCATCTCCATTATAATCTTACGGGACTACTGGCATATATGTGGTCTATAGTGAACCAAATCACTGCTCTGTGGCACATGACTATGCATGCTTCTCAAGTGCAGGTCATCAACAGCTCAGATCAGAGGGGAAGGCACCAGGAGAGGCTCTAAGCAACTGTATAGCAATACTGAGGGGGCTGAGGCCCAGGTGGTGGTCATACCCTCCATAAGCCCCTTGGCCTGGGGTCACATGGTCCCCTATGAGGAACCTCTGTCTCTGAAAACAGGGAAACGTAAACCATTGCAGCAGGGATTTTGAGGGGCTGAAAAATCATCAGGTCACTAATTCCATCTTTGTCCCACTTTTAAAACCTCTGTAGGCCCGGTGCAGTGGCTCACACCTGTAATCCCAGCACTTTGGGAGGCCAAGTCAGGTGGATCACGAGGTCAGGAGATCGAGACCATCCTGGGCAACATGGTGAAACCCCGTCTCTACTAAAAGTACAAAAATTAGCCAGGTGTGGTGGCGCATCCCTATAATCCCAGCCACTCAGGAGGCTGAAGCAGGAGAATTGTTTGAACCAGGGAGTCAGAGGTTGTAGAATCACACCACTGCACTCCAGCTGGTGACATAGTGAGACTCTGCCTCAAAAAAAAAAAAAAAAAAAAGCCTCTGTGAGTCTGCATTCCTGAATCTGGGGATATGTGATTTATAGGCAATGTGCAGTAGCATTGCTTAAAAAGCCAAAGATAATATATTTTCCCCATAGGCCTCTGTGCCTGTGTTCCCCTCTCCACTCTAACCCCTCTTACGGAGACAGGGAGCTTGTTGAAGCAGACATTTGTCAAATAGTACATGATGGATGTGAACACCCCAGGAGAGGCTAGAACTTGCAAGAGTTGGGGCTGTACATTATAGACTGTTGAGTTTAATCACCTTACTGAAAAGAATACATAGGGTAGTAATAGTCATTTTCCATATGCTTCTAAATAACAGGTCCAATATTCCGCTTATGGTTTAATAGTTTGTGAGAGTGTTCGCCTATTGCTTGGCACTGAATGCAGATTTGGAATATTTGTATGACATGAGGTAATGATGCACAGACAAAAAAGCTGCATTTTTGTCACACTGTTTAGTGAACAAATATGTCAATGTCCTCCTGAGAGTCCTTGGTATTCTGCTGAATTGTTGCTTTAGAACGGAAGGTCACATTTAGAAGGAAGTGATTGAATAAACCTAATTTAATTTTGTTTTAGGGATCAAAAAGTTCTCAGAAGCAGCAAGCAAGGTCAACTAATTTCTTGCTTACAGCTAAGTAAATAGGGTCTCTTTTATTGGGTCCAGCAGCTTGAATAGTGCCACTGTAGTATGGGAATAAGATAGGGTGGTGGTTCCCAGCCCAGTCTACACATCGGACTGACCTGGGTGCTTTGAGCACTACTGATATTTCTGTCCCTCCACCAGAGATTGTGGTTTAATTGGTGTGAAGGGTGGTCTGGACTTTGGAACATTTAAAAGATCTTCTCATCTCCTTCCCCCCGATTCTAATGAGAAGATAGTATGGAAATCACTGGGTATTTTTCTCTCTCTTTTTTGTTGGGGGAGATGGAGTGGGAGTTAGAGACTGAAGATGATGTTTTTGAGAACTTTGCAAACCCAATAATAATTCCCCAAGACAGAGCTGGTTTTTAATCACTATCAGGTAACTGATCAGCTAGGACATGTTTGAGCAAAGCTGCCCTCACACTGTGTGCCCAGAGATCTCTGCTGCTTCCTTGCCTGCCCTGAAAGCCAGGAGGCAGTGGCAACTGAGTCCCTCACTAAACATTTGGAAATGAAATGAACGTTGGAAAAATCCCCAGTAACATGGGAGGAACATTGGAAGGCCAGCTCTTGCCACCTCTCTCTTTTTTCTTCACCTACAGAAATGCCTGCCAGCTCAGTGGCAGGACAGACATGCTGAGACAGAGGTGAACCCAGAGCCCTGTCCACAAATATCAAGGAGCAGTCAGGGTGTGCCAGCGAGTCCTGGGAGCTCTAGAACCTTCTGCTCCAGATTCCTGCTCTTCCTCTTGGATTATTCAAATCCCACTGGGGGACTAGATCCATCAAAAAGGCGTAGAAGAGCCGATAAGAAAAATCAATTTGTGTTGCTAAACTTAGTGGTTCATTAGTTTTTAGTGAAACTAAGGGGTGTTTCCTATTGCTTGTTTCCCCTCTCTTGATGCCACTCATTCTGACGGCCTCTATGAGCAATTCTTAATTCAGGATGTTAAATTTTTCTAAAAGACCTTCAAGAAGCATGAAAGTGAATAGTACCTTATACTTATAAGATGCTATTCCTCATCTGCCTGGTAATGACCATAGATGTTCTTGCCCCTGTGTCTTAGCACCTATGTCCTAGTATGTATTGAAATTACAAAACTGCCAGAAAAAAAAGGTAAACACTTTTTAAAGGTGTTTGGATTTGGGTTTCTTTGGAATATTAAGGTTTTTTTCTTTCTGTTTAAAAAATAACTTAAGGATCTGGGGATGGAGTGGGAGGGTGCACAGGGCCTTGGAGGGCTGATGACCCAGTTTCGTTTTCTTCCAAGTCCATCGTTAACACAGTGCAGTGGGGAAGAACAGGGGCCAGGAGTAGGAGACTTGGTTTCTAGGCTCCTGGTCTGTGAGTGGCCTCTACATTGTCCATGGCTCCCAAATCCACTATTTCTGTGTTCATGGATACACGTAAGATGGTGTATCACCAAATACCACTGTAACAGGTTGAATGACGGCCATCTAACAGTAGCAGGTCCTAATCCCTGGAACCTAGAAATGTTACCTTCTGAGGAAAGTCTTTGCAAATGTGATTAAATTAAGGATCCTGATATATGGGGATTATCTTGGATCATCCGGGTATTCCCTAAACTCAGTGATGAGTATCCTTATAAAAGAAAGGCAGAGTGAGATTTGATACACATTAAAGGCAACGTGAAGACAGATGTGGAGATTGGAGTGACCTGGCCACAAACCATGCAATGCTGGCAGCCACTAAGAGCAGTAAAAAGCAAGGAACAGCTGTAAAAGGCAAGGAACAGCTGTAAAAGGCAAGGAACAGGTGCTGCCCTGGAGCCTCCAGGAACAGCACAGCCCGCTCGACACCTTGATTTTGGCTCAATAAAACTAATATTGAACCGCTAGCCTCCAGAAATATGATAAAATAAATTTCTGTTGTTCTAAACCACTAAGTTTGTGGTGATTCCTCACAGTATCCTCTAAGAAACAATACAACCACCAAAAATGTGCACTGCGCGCCGGTTACGGAGGTAACTGTGCGCCAGGCACTTGGGATTCATCTGGGAAAAAGGAGAGTCATGGTCCTTCCCCTTAGGGCCCTTTCCTGGGGCCTGGGAAGGAGTCATCTACTGAAATTAAAATTTTAATTCATCTACCACTCTGTAGCCATATCTAGATTTTTAAAATCAGAAATCATTTTATCAGAGAGAGAAGTACAAATAACACCAAATTGCCTAAGACAGGGGATGAAATGCCTTTGCAAATGCAGTGAAGGTATATGATATTAAAATGCACCATTCAGTTTGTCAAAAAAGGTGGTCTATGTGGTAGAAAAATCAGTTGTGTTTGCTAGACAATTTGTGGAGGGAAAATGGACTTTCTGAGTGATTTCTAAAAATAGCTAAAATGTTATTTATTGAAGGCATCTCTGTGTGAGCACTTCATAATGTATTATTTAATAGAATCCTTATAGCCACTCTGCATTTTCATTTTTCATATAAAGAAACTGAGGATGAGACATACTGAATAACTCTCCAAGGACAGACGATAAGAAGTGATATATCCTGGCTTGTTTCACTAGTACCTGGTTATTTTCTTGTTCTTTTAGAAATCTTAAGACAGCTGCTAGTTGAATATCAATAGTCAGCTATGCTTTGGGGCACAAAATATGCAGCCCAGTCTGAACTGGGGTGGGCCTGGTGGGTGGGGAGCCAGCCAGTCCTACTTTGACCAAGCTGGAAAGTCCTCGAGGCCTAGTCATGTACAGGGTGGAAGCACTGTACCTTAA